TTTTTGGTTGTCTGTCCCCCAGGGAGGAGGTCACACACAGTTCCATGTAATCAGTTCCCTCTTCCCTACCCATTCTCCCTTTACCCTCCCTGTTTTGCCACTCACACCACTAGTCCTATAGGGCTCATCCGTCCTGTATTCCTGTATTTTCAGTTCCTATCTGTACCAGTGTACCTCCTCTGGTCTAGCCAGTCTTGCAAGATAGAATTCGAGTCATGGTAGTGGGAGCGGGGAGGAAACCTTTAGGAACTAGAGGAAAGTTGTATTTCTCATCATTGTTACATCGCACCGTGACTGGCTCATCTCCTCCCCTAGACCCCTCTGCAAGGGGATCTCCAGTGGCCTACTAATGGGCTTTGGATCTCCACTCCGCACTCCCCCCATCATTCACTATGGTAAGATTTTTTGTTTTGATGATGCCTTACATTATATTTTCATAATATTAAGTCCACCTATCCATGAACATAGACTATTCTCCCATTTATGTAGGTCTTTTTTGGTTTCTTGTTAATACTATTCTGTAGTTTTCTTTGTACGAGTCTTTCATTTCTTTTGGTAGGCTCATTCCTAAATAGTTTATCTTTTCTATGGTTATTGTTAATAGTATTGTTTTCTTAATATCTTTTTCAGAAACTCTGCTGGTATACAGGAATCCAATTGATTTCTGCTTCTTAATCTTGTTTCCTGCTATTTTGCTGAATCCTTCCATTGTTTCCAACAGTCTTTTTGTAGATTCTTTTGGATTCTTTCTATATAGAATCATGTTGTCTGCAAATAATGAGAGTTTCACTTCTTCTCTATCTATTTGTATTCCCTTGATTTCTTTTTGTTGTCTGACGGTTCTCAGACTTCTGCTACAATGTTGAAAAAGAGTGGTGGTTGAGGTCATCCTTGTTGGTCCCAGTTTTCAGGAAAAATGTTTCTAGCTTTTCCCCATTGAGCATGATGTTGGCTGTTGGTTTTACATATGTGGCCTTTATTATGTTGAGGAACTTCAGGTACAAAGTATTTATAGTTGGGATTGGCTGATATTTTTCTATAAAGCATCTCAGATTGGTTTACAACAGTTATAAGAATGCATTATGATATTGTCATATATTATTCAGTTCAACAAACAATAATGGAGTGACTAGTGTGTTTCGGAGGATATAAACTCTGTTCAAAGATAAACGAAGGAGCTCCAGTGATACAGTGGCTAAGTGCTCTTCTATTAACTGAAAAGTTGGCTGTTTGGAACCAAGACGTTCTGTGGGAGAAAAGACCTGGAAAACTGCTCCATTAAGGATTACAGCCCAGGAAGCACAATGGAGAATTTCTACTCTGCATTCTAGGACTTCTATAGAATCACTATGAGTCTGAATCATCTTGAAAGCAATGTATGTGTGTGTGTGTGTGTGTGTGTGTGTGTGTGTGTGTGTGTGTGTAGGTGCTTTAAGATAAACAATACCTGTTCATTCTTCAGAGGAGCTAGCAATCCCTTAAGGGATTGAATAGAGCGAAAAAGGCCCATTGCTATGCAGTCATTACTGACTGTGGCAAACCCATGTGCCAGCTTAGAACTGTGATCTAAAGGATTTTTAAATATACAGTTTATTATTAATTGGGAGTTAATACATTTATCATTTCATATTTCAATCACATCATGAAGAATTGTAAAATTGCTACTAAAATAAATTTCCAAACATTCCTTTTCTTCTTGGACTCCTTGACATGGTCTCTCTTTTACTACCACCCCCACTACACCACCCCCACACACACACATTGTACTCATCTACCCCCCAAACCCCTATTCTATTTGCTGTCCCTATAGGTTCATCAATCTTGGGTTTTATATACCAAAAAATCCAGAAAACCATAAAGCAGAACTTCAAGAGTAACCCCCAATGACATAACACCTCTGAGACATACCCTGATATGAACAAAGTAAACCAAACCAAACCAAAACAAAATTACAGAAAATGTTGAAAACCAGATCAGGTCCATAATACATCAGAGGGGGGATCAACTGATAAAGTTTTAACAGTTCAAGTCAGTTTTATCCCTTTGATCTTCTATACTCATCTCTCTAATGCACTCTGTTTAGTAACCACTTTCTTCCCCTCCCTCATTTGAGGATAGAAGAATTCATTGGAAGCTTGTTTTTCATGTAGTTCCCATAACTGTATCGTGGGCTCCTACAGACATCCATAGCCTTCTGCAAACCAGACTCTCACAGTTTAGGCTCTGATATGAATCCCTCCTTCTTCTTTGGATTATATGATTTACAGTCCTTCGGAGACTGATGATGGTGTGCTTCTTCCATGTGGACTTAGTTGACATCTTACTTAGATGGCTGCTTGTTTGGCGACAAGTTTTTAATACCCCAGGCACTATATGATCTGATAGCCAGGCACCATCTAATTTCTTCACCACATTTTGCTGTAACACTCACATCTTCTGTGTTCCCTTCCTGAGGGAGAGTTTTGAGCAGGACCATGATGTAAGAACTAATTTCTCTTAGTTTGGAGCTAGGATTTAGTGAAAATGGTTGATATTTAGGAAGTAGATTACTTAGGATAATTTAATGGAACTAGTAGACAAAAAACTCTGCAATCATGGACCTTATATTCTAGTTGATAATACCAATACTGAATAAACAATACATAAGATAGGCAAATGATGTGCTGTGTTAAATATAATAAAAGCTTTTAAAATATACACCCCCAAATGACACTCACCTAAACCACACGTGGGTACCAGACTCAGACAAATTTGGAAACAAGGCATCATGTTTTTGTTGGTTTGTTTTGAAGTCATTAAGTTGGGTAATTGATTATGCAACAATGGATAATGTATCCCAACAGCAGCGAGGCCCGGAGTGGCTGCAGTGGTGTGCAACAGGGGCAGCGGAGCAGGAGAGGAAATCAGAGCAAATAGCAGTGTGAGGCCACCTACAAGTTCCTCCTCAAGACTCTGGTTCGGTAGTGTGAAAGGAGTGTCTCTCTCAACTTGAGCATATCCCACCCAAATCTCTGCCTGTGCTGTTTCCTCCTCAAGCACTCTCACTGTTAACCTTGCTGTTCCTTTTTCATTCTTCTAGTTTCATTGGAGGCATGACAACCTTGATGAAAAGATCACAGACACAATCTGATATTTCCATTTGTGCTTCCTAGCACCCTGTGATTTCTTGACTGTGCTATTTATTATGCTTCAATATTATTACGGTTCAATTTTCCTCTCTCTCATCCCTGAGAGATTCTGTGCTCTTTCAGAGGAGAGACTATACTTATAGTTTGCTCTAAAGAGCCAAGCTCCTTGCCTGGCACATTGTAGGTGATTGACAGCCATCCGCTAAATTGATGTTTTTCTTGCAATGTACCAGACACTACCTGTGCTCTTTTAAAATATCATGTCAACTCTACAAAGTATATATTAGCATCACTGAGCAGCAGAAGAAATTGTAGCACAAAATGTTTATGTATGCCACATTTTCATAGCTAATGAGTTGCAGGGTTAGGATGGGACCTAGGTCTATCAAAGTATAAACTTCTAACTGCTACTGTACACTTCCTCTTATATGAAGTGCCTGCCTGGTCATGGGGAAAAGTGACCAAACTGAAGTTTAAGTTTTAGATCCATGTGATAGAGGCATGACAGCCAAATTTCTGAGGTTAGCATCCTGGCTTATCACAATTTAATAAGGATAATCACTCTGATTCTTGTTTTCTTTCCACTTAAGATGTAACCTCATGCAACCAAGCCCTGACCATAATTCCTGGTGTTAATTAATTAATTAATTGACTATTTCACATTTGATCGACATGTGTTGATTTTTTACTATATAAAGACACCCCTCTAGACGAAGAGTCACAAGGTGTGTCCCCCAAAAGCTTGAACTTTGGTAGGAAAAGAGGTAGAAATGCAATAGATAGTCACGGTGGATAGGTAACTTTTCCACCCTCCCTCTCTCCCTCTTATACCCCTTCCTTCTTTCTTTCCATTTCCTTCTCTGTACCCATTTTCCTTTATTCTGGGGCTTGCACTTCAGTTTTTCTTTAAGGAACAACTCATTCTGCTTTAGTCCATGCAGTTCCTATGGGACTGATACAGACGTCAGCAAGAAAAGGCTACAGGTGTGACTTCTGTACACTGTTGTTCAGTTATTTGGGGAACGGGCATGCGACACCATCCTGGGACCTGACTAAAGCTCTCAGGAAAGAAGCCGCTTCTTACTGTTTGGGTTGTTAGAGATGTACAGGTCCAGAGGAACCTTGTGTCAGACAGAAGTAATCCCACAGGGAAATGTAGTCCAGAAGTGAATACAACTAGTTCACGGTTGTGAAGAATCATGTTACTATACAAAGAACATTATAAAGTCATTTTTTGCAGATGTAGTTAGGCAGAAATGTAATACCCTATCATTTTAATCTCCATTCGAACTCATTGTAAAGTTCTTTCAGTTTTGAATATTTTTGCTTTCTCTTTGATTGACCTTTTTCTGTTTTGTTTAGTTATTGTTATTGAGCTTTTTGCTTGTTTGTTAGCATTGTATGATTTTGTATGCCTGTGCTTTGTTTTCTATGATCATCTCTACATGAAATCCAGGATTGGTAGATCTATAGAGATAGGTCTGGATGGGGCAGGGCAGGGGAGAATCGAGGGAAATAAGGAGCTAACAACCATGAGTATGAGAAGAAAATGTTCCGAATTGTGGTAATGATTGATTAATGATTTTCTTAGTATGAATGATTAAATTGTATGATATGCAAAGTATATGCCAATAAAGTTATTTTTTTTACTGAAGGAAAAGACAAAGTCTTGAGGATGTTGAGCACTTGCCCTATGATTTGCTTACATAGTTTTGAGTTGGTTTTCTATTATTTCTCGTCTAAAGTGATATGACATCAGGGGTCTGATGGAGGAGTAGACCCACAGGAGGAAGGAAAATGAGAGATCGTGTGATCTTTCAGGATTCTAGAATTGAAGAGCGGGCCAAGAGTTTGTCTTATAACTTATTTGGTTTAACAAATGCCCATGACCTATGATGTCAAATTTGAAAGAGTGAAGAGAATGGATTTATGCTCTCAGATACAGAGGCATACTATAACGTCAGAGTGGTATAAGCAAAGTGGGATTAGAAAAAGAATAGGAAAATAAAACCATGTAACAGAACAAAATTAAAAGGTAGATCCATGTTTATTTGGAAGCATGTCTTATTATACATTATACAAATCTTTGTAGTGCTGGGTTGTTTAATATATGGTCTTAGGAAAATCAGATTACAACATGGAGAAAGTGAATACATATTCCTATGTCACATTATATATTAATTTTTTAGAATGATTACAAGCCTAAATGTGAATGACACTATAAAACTAGTCAAAGTGAACATCCTTGTGAGCTTGGAGTAAGGGAGACCTTATTAAATAAGACCACCAAAGCACAATTTCTAAGGCAAGCAACTGATACATTTGACCATGGCCAACTTAGAGAAGTTCTGTTCAGTGGCAGCTCCATAGCTCAAGCTGATTTCATTGGCGACAGACTGGGAGAAGACATTTGCAACGAAACTGCAACAAAGGGTTGATCTATAGATTAGAAAAGAAATTCTTTTTTTTTCTATATTGAAAAAGTTTATATTTAGCATTAGCCAGCTGGGCTCATTTTAGATGATTCCAATTTTGTTGGCAGAGCCAGTCGAACATATGCCTTATTCTCACCGTCAGGCCTGATCAAGGTGTTGACCTTGGCTACGTCCATGTCACAGAGCTTGTTCACAGCCTGCTTGATCTGGTGTTTGTTGGCTTTGACATCCACAACGAACACAAGTGTGTTGTTATCTTCGGTCTTCTTCATGGCAGACTCTGTGGTCCAGGGGAACGTGCGGGTGGCACAGTGGTCCAGCTTGTTTCTCCTGGGGGCGCTCTTCCGAGGGTCTTGGGGCTGCCTTCTCAGTCTCAGGGTCTTGGGCCGCAGGAAGGTGGGTGACGTGCGGATCTTCTTTTTTGTGTGGCTGTGGTCGCCTTTCAGCACGGCCTTCTTGGCTTTTAAAGCCTTTGCTTTGGCTTCCGTTTTGGGAGGGGCAGGAGCTTCCTTCTTCGCCTTCGGTGCCCTCTTCGTGAAAAGGGTCCGAAACGAAATTCTTATAAGACAGAATAGGGAACTAGTAGCAAGGAGCCAAAGCATGTTGCTGTTCGGTGCCCTCCTTGTTGGTTCTGATTCATAACCACCCCCTGTACAAACAGAATGAGACGCTGCCTGGCCTGCACCGTCCGCCCAATTGTTTCGATGTTTAGACCCATTGTTGCAATCATCATGCTCATCCAGTTTCTTGAGGGTCTTCTTCTTTGTACAGACCCCCTATTTTCACTAAGCATGCGTCCTTCTCCAGGGATTGGTCTCTTCCCACAGCATGTTCGAAGTGCACACAATTGGCGAGGAGGAGTAAGGTGTGCTGTCTGAGGAAATGGTCTGGGCCACATTTGACTTCCTCCAGCTCCCCAGGCTGACCGCCACAAGGAAAGAATTAGACACGTCTCCACCCTACATCTGTTTAACTCTGTTGTGACACCAACCCTTCCTCCTATAGTACTCTATCTTCCCTACATGCAATTTTTTTCCTGGGCTCAATAATTCTCAGAACTCACAGATGAGACTCACAACTACATAGTTTATTAGGGAAGTTAACGTGAAAAAAAATGTTCAGGACACAGTTGTTTAGTCAAAACTATTTCTTCTCTGTCATCCCCGCAGGCAGGTCTCTCCCTCTGGCTCTGAACTCTTGGCTTGGCTTCTGCCCGGCTTGGACAATATTACAAAACTCGTTTTGGGTTGCCAACAAATGCCCAGAGGGCACACCATTCTGTCTCCACCCACAGGCACTGAGCTCCAGCTTTGCAGGTTAGCAAACTTCACTCCTCTAACTAAATGGGCAGAGAGAGACCCCACTGCACGAACCAGTCTCCTATCCCAAAGCACGTCCTTTTACTTGCTCTGTGGGCTCAGCAGTCTACTGCATGTTTCCTGCTCTGGTTTCTGGCTCCACTGCTGCTCCGGCTCCTCTTCTGGTGTCAAAGCTGGCTCCTGGGTCTAAGAGGTTCAATGTGCAGGGAGCTGAGGCTCCAAAGGATAGCGCTTATCTTTTGGTGGTATCGAGATCATTACCCTTTCCTGCTTCTGAGATGGCTCATTTTATACCCAGAAGGGTGGCAGTCACGATGAACTCTGTTAGCAATATCTCACAGTGAAATCATAGTCCACTCAGTATCTTCTCCTACCTTCTTTCCCAGACCCTATTAGATAATTCACAGCACGGCGATGAGGGATGAAGTCACGCCATCCTGGTATCTAAGAAAGATGTGACTGTCCTTCCACGACAGATTGATTTATTTGTTTTCCTGGCAGTCCATGGTGTATTTAATACTTTTGCCAACATAATGATTCCTAGGTACCCGTTCTTCAGTCTTCCTTATCCAGTCAAAGACTGGATAGCAAATCGCAGAAGAGGAGATGGACATGATAAAGCCATGTATGAAATTTGTGCAAACTAAAACACCAGGGATTTTCAAATTAAAAAGCAATGAAATACCATATTATTCTCACTAGAATGGCAAAAGACAGGTTATTGGTGAAATTTGGGGGTATTAGAACTCATATGCACTGCTGGTGGGGATGTACATTGGTATAGTCATTCTGGAGAATAATTGGGCATTCTCTAATACAGCTATGTATGTTGGTATGTCTAGCACCCCAAGGGTTGGTGCCTATACCCCCAAATAATTTATATTCACTATCATAAGGAAGCATATACAAGGATTTTCATTTAATCATTATTTGTGGAGTCATAGAACTAAAGACACAAAAGTGTAGAATGAAAGAAAATAAGAAACATAATGAAATAGCCAGTATATTTAGAAACAATAACAATAGCAAATTAATTGTCTTTGAGTTGATGTCAGCTCCTGGTGTTCCCCCGAGTATCAGAGGAGAATATGTCCCATTCCGTTTTCAATGGCTAATTCTCAGAAGAAGATTGGCAGGCCTCTCCTCTGAGGCTTCTCTAGTTGAACTCAGCCCTCAAAACTCTCAGCCGCTGAGCCCATTAGCTATTTGCACCTCCCAGGACTCCATCACACAGTGAGGTAAAAGCAAAGCACATACTTATATCCCATCACAAATATTACTCAAGGTGGGTGAGAAGATGTAGAGAGAGGAAGTAAGGAAAATGGGACTGGGGCTAAGTATAAAAGGAAGTTGATAAAATAAGAAAAAAAGATCCTGTATAGCCTGACAACACTAGTGTGTTAGAAACTAAAGAAAAGTCAGTTCAATATTCTAATACCCCTTTGTTTAAAATACATTGATAATGGAGATGAAAACTAAACATGTTCTAGACAAACAGAATATCAGGGATATTTCATGTGAGCTCTGGTCACATCCTGCCTAAAGTAGTATGTGACCTTACCTGGAGAGATAATGTGTCTCCCAACTACCTCTATGTTGTTGTCCTTAGGTGCCCTCGAGTTGGGTCTAATTCCTAATGACCCAGTGTACCACTGAACAGCACACTGCCTGGTCCTGTGCCGTCTGCACAGTTGTGTTGGAGCCCGTCATAGTAGTCTCTGTGCCAGTCCCCCTCATGGAGTGTCACTGGCCTGGGTTTCTAATTTACTAAGCATGGTTCCCTATTCCAGGGCCTGCTTCTCCCGATAGCATGCCCGAGTAGATAAGATGGAGTCTTGCCATCCTAGCTTCTAAGGAGCATTCTGGCTATAGATGCCATCCTATATCACTTTCCACGATTTGAAAGTAAAGCAGTATGAAGTTGGAGGGGCGGGGGGCTTGTTACTAAGATTAGATAGGAAACCCTTTTAAAAACACCAAACAACTTGTTGGAATACTTGTTGTCTAAAATCTTTGGTCTGAAATCAGCGTTTCCGTTTTCTAGTAACCTTTACTTGGGGGTTCCCTAAAGTAGGATACTGGCTCTGTAGGCTTTGACTGTCCTCATCAGCATGTGTAAATAAGGCTGGAGATAACAGAGTCGTACATCAAAAAGGAAAATGTTTTTTTCCAAATGAATGCTAATACCCTGTACCCAAATAAAGCACATTCTTTTCCTTTTTTGATAGTTTTCTTTTAAAAAAAAATCATTTTATTGGGGGCTCGTACAACTCACAATCCATCAATGTGTCGAGCACATTCGTACGTTTGTTCCCCCCATCATTACAGGACACAGATACAAACACGTTTAATGGTACATATGGGATCACAGCATATCATTCCAGCCACTGCACAAATGCACAGGCAACAGGCAGCTTACGGAGCTGACAAACTACCTCAAACGGATCTCAAGGAGCTGTTGTTGTGTCAGAATACCAAGCCTTTCTTCGGAGATGTCTTTGGGTGGTCTTGAACCTTCAACCTTTTTGTTAGCAAAGATTGTTGTTATTGCTAAGTGCTATTAAGTCAAGTCTGACTCATATGGACCCTGTGTGACAGGGTAGAACTGCTCCATTGTGTTTGGAGGCTGAGATCTTGATGAACAAGGAGCCTTGGTCATGCAGTGGTGACGTAGTGGGGGGCTGTCTTGAAAGTTCAGAGGTTCCAACATAGTAACCACAAGTTGACAGTCAGCTTCCATTAGGACTTACAGCCTTAGACACTCTCTGGGGAGGTTCTGTTCTGGCTGGGGCTAATGGTTTGAGGTGTTATCCTTTGCTGTGCCTCAGGAATCCCCAGGAAGTGCCTGTACTGAGGTGGGTGTTGGGGTTCAGTCAGGCCTCAGAGACACTCATCTGCCCCAAACAGCTCCACGGTGGCAGGGGAGGCAGGGCTGAAGAAGTGTGCGTTCTCAGCTCCCATTCAAGTTTTCTGTTGGCGCCACCCTGCCCTTCAGCCCTGAGCTGTTGACTCCCGTGGCATTGAGTGTTCTAGGTAAGATTTGGGAGAGATGGCAGATGTTTATCTCGGGTTCCTGTGTTATTGATATGACTGTTTTCTGTCTCACCCTCTTAGGAAGTTTGACGAAGATGCAAATGGAGTCTTCGGAGACAAGGAAGGGTGCGTGCCCTCTGCTTCACGTGGTGGCTCAGAGAAGAGACTGGCTGACTGAGTGGGGCAGGAGAGGGGAAAGATACGGCTTCTCCCAGCTTTCTGATGAACAGACCTTATTGAACGGTGAAGGTCTTGTCATAATCTCTCATATGGCGACAGGACGTATAAAGTGTCCTGTCCAGCCCTGTGACACTGCTTCCTTCCCTTATTGAGCACTTACTCGCTAGACAGGAGGCCTGAGGGTGCGTGGTGGGGACACAAACCCTCAAAAAGCCACAGGGTTCCTATCTTCAGCTTGTCTAGTATACAGGAGAAGTGTGTGGAAGGGCCAAGAATGAACACATGCATACATCATCTTTCTACACCCCTGGTACAAGTGGGTGGATGCCCCTTTCACAAAGGAGGCACCTGCCATTCAGAAGGGGTCAAGTGACTCCTTTAAGGTAAACTGGCTGTTTCCTTCCTTCACTCATCTATCAGGTAGGTTTACTGAGATCCTGTCATGCCCCAGGGCATCTCTAGATGTCTGAGAAGAAATAACGACTAGGGTGTGGGCTTGCTGTCTAGGACTGAAAATCTCTATAGGCTGCAAATGGTTAATGCGGTCGGGTACGAACTAAAGGGCTGGGGGGTTGAATCCATCCAAAGCGCCCTCCCAGGGAAGGCATCATGATCTACTTGCCAAAATAACAGCGATTGAGGACCAGAGTGCAGAGTGCTGTCCTGACACACACGGGGCTGCCACGGATTAGAGTTGCTTGCTTGCTTGCTTGGTCTAGGAGGGCCTGGTCTAATGGGGGGAAAAAGAGTCACACAAACAATGCACCACATTCTAACCTGATAATGACTGCTACACATTTTGTAATGGGGCTTTTCAAAGCACAGTGGTGTCATGGAGGAAGAGGCGCTGAGTTGGGCTGAGGGAGTCAGGGAGGCACGAGCTGGCTGGGACTCAGGTACATGTCTGAGGCACTCTCTGTGGTACGCAGATGCAGAAAACATGCTTAGTCTCACCTGTGGCACAGACCTGAGATGGTTCTAATCTTGGTCTAATCTTC